CCCGGCTGGATTCCGTGGCTTTGGATTTCAAACCCCGAAGCGCAGGGCTGAGCTGGGTGCGCTGGTCCTGCCGGGCCCGTGCCGGAGGAGCCGGGGGTGCCAATCCAGGGTGGCCCAGTGGCTGCGCTGGGCAGGCGGGGGGGATGCAGAGCAGGAGCTTCCAAACCGCTCCCGCTTGGAGCCCTGGAATTCCAGGTACAAACACGGACAGGGGCTTGAACAAATTAAATTTCTGGGTGTTTTTAAAATGAATGACATTATAGCTGTAGTTTCTGGCAGGTTTTTTGGGGTGTGGCCGTGCAGTGGGTGCAGCTGGCACAGGACCCGTTTGATGCCAGCCCCAGTCTCTGCCAGTCCCGGGTTATCCAGTTCTTCCTGCCCCGCTCTGCTCCTGCTCCCAGCACCCGGGGCTGGCAATGAGGAGTCACACGGCTGCTCTCTGGGAAACGCAGCCTTTTGGAATATTTTATTCCCAGAGCTGCTTCCCCAGCTTGTTGCAGAGCAGTGTGGAGAGCCAGCTCCTGCGTGTGAGGAGAGGAAATCACCTCGGTTCGTGTCTCACAGCTCTGCCAGCCCTGGGAGGTGACAGCAGGTCCGGGATCCCACTGGAGGCTCCTCTGCACAGCACAGAACTTTCCATCCTCGCTCTTCATTAGAGACTGTTTTAAAATTCCATGAAAATGGCATACAATAAATCCTGGGGAGATGAAAGGGAGGTTTGAGCTGGCAGGAGGTTCTTTAGAGAGGCTCTATTTACACAAATTGTCTGGCTGACAGGAGAGAAACTGTTTTGACATTTTGTAAACTCTTCCACTGATAATTTTGCATCTCAGTACAGCAAGGCTGGGGGAGGCAGGACAGGGTGAAACAACAAAGCCAAGGCCCCGAGCTCCCTTCCCAGCTCTTATTTTTGAACACTAGCAAACTATTTAACTGCAAAGCACTGCAAAAGCAGCCTTTCTGTGAAAAGAACGGGAGGAAAGTGCCATTATCTCACTGATGAGCATCCTCAGGAGGGGACACCTGGCACAGGCAGCAGCACTGCCATTGCCCTGTCCCTGGGGCTGGAGAACACAGGGTGTAAAACCCATTTAGCAGCTTCTCCAAATCAGTTTGTCTCCAACAAGGGTGAATGAACACTGCCAGAAATGTGTGGCTCTATCAACCACAAGCAATATATGTGCTTGATATGGGGTCACTGAATTTCTCTGAATTTTGAAAGTTTAGTGACATCTCAGGCTACAAATGTCCCAGATTAAATGAATACTACCAAGGTATTTCCTGAGATTCCTAAGATTTTGGGTTATCCTGTGCAGGCCCAGGAGTTGGATTGATGATCCTTGTGGATCCCTCCCAGCTCAGGATATTCTATGATTCTATGAATATCTTGCTGTAATTTATTTATGATTCATGACTCACTCTCTGACTGGCATTCGTGGACTAATTCATCATTGTCAGCATGACTGGGGGGGGTGAAGCTTATATTTCCTCTGGATATCTTTTAAGTGCTTTTTTCCTGCCTTTATTTCCCTAATCAAACCAAGATCTTATTTATAGTGCTGCCGTTTCTGTCTGGGTAAGCCCAGAGTGGCCCCAATGGCTTAACAGGATTTATTTACTCCAGCTT